TCTCTGTATGGTGAGTGTGAGTGACCGACAACAAAAACTTAGATAAATAAAAATAAATTTAAAAAGTATTAGGGTACGGGCCATAAGCTTTGGTGTTATTAAGTTTAAGATAGCTCTTAATCACATGAATAAAAATGTCAATTAGGTAACTAGATGAATGAATATGTTGCTTAGGGAAGAATGGGCTAAGGATACTAATGTTAGAGCCAACAACAAACAGATGAAATATAAAACCACAGGTGAATGGGATCACTAGAGAGGTAGGCTGGATGCGATCTGGAGCTAAATCCTGGGAGGTTAAAGAATGAACAGAAAAAGGAGATTGATAAGGAATAGCCAGTGAGACAGGACAAATAAGAGATGTTCCAGAAGCCAGAGCAAATAAAGTTAAGAAAGCAGAAGTGATTAACTATGTCAATGCTATTTACAGGTTAACATGAGGATGGAGAACTGACCTTCAGTAGCAATGTATAGGTAACCCGCAATCTTGGGAAGAGTTGGCTGGTAATGATACAAGATTAAACTGGTTGGCTGGAGTAGACTCAGGACAGCAAAAGAGATGAAGTAGAGACAGTGAAAAAGGGAGTTCTAATGAGCTAGGCTTAAAGAGAGTAAAGAAAAGGATTGGTAGGACAGGACTGGTCAAGAAAGAAAACAATATTTTTTAAAAAACTAATTATTATTATTTAGTTCTTTTCTTAAGAATAATAATTATTATTATTTTTAAATTTGCTAGAGGGCATACACACTCATGAGAGAGAGAGAGAGAGGAAGCCACCAGGTCTGGGATCTGAACTGTGGTCAGCCATTTGGGAGTCTAGCAACTCAACCACCATGCCACCTGCTGGCTTTACCTATTTCCTCCCCATAGGATACATGTGATTGCTAGAGACAGAGAGAGAGAGATACAGAGAGGGAAAGTGAGAAATCATTGCCAGGTAATGATTCTCCTTTCAGGATTTTGGGATGTATACACATGAGCCTAGCGTGATTTTCAAGCTGCCAGGTTCAGGACCCAAACTGTGGTTGGTCATGTGGGAGTCTTGCGCCTTAACCACTACACCACCTCCTGGCCCCAGAAAAAAAAGCCTTTTAAGATGAAAGATTTATAGCAACTGCTTATACTCAAGGGAATAACCCAGTAGAAAGGAAAAAAAAAATTAATGATAGAGGAGAGAGCTGGAATGATTATTGAACCAATTTACTAGCACAAATGATCTGTAAGATCCAGTGCACAAGAATGAATAAATCTTCTGTTTAATAATTTCTTTTTACTGTTCTTTTACCCTATTGTTTTTAGGATTTTTTTTTTCTTTTTGGCCGTAGGGTGCATACGCTTGCTGGAGAAAGAAAGACAGAAAGTGAGAAACCATTCTCCAGGAGGGATGGTCATGGTGCAGTCCCTTCTCCATTCTTCTCTTGAGGTTTTGGACATGCAATGCAAACACATCTGGTGGACTTTTCAAGCTGCCAGTTCCAGGATTCAAACCACGGTCACCATGTGGGAGTCCAGGGCCTTAACCACCATGCCACCTGTTGGCCCTTTCTCCACTGTTATTAGAAATTAGGACTACTAAGAAAAGGAAGACTAGGGAAGAATGGGCTAAGGATACTAATGTTAGAGCCAACAACAAACAGATGAAATATAAAACCACAGGTGAATGGGATCTCTAGAGAGGTAGGCTGGATGCGATCTGGAGCTAAATCCTGGGAGGTTAAAGAATGAACAGAAAAAGGAGATTGATAAGGAATAGCCAGTGAGACAGGACAAATAAGAGATGTTCCAGAAGCCAGAGCAAATAAAGTTAAGAAAGCAGAAGTGATTAACTATGTCAATGCTATTTACAGGTTAACATGAGGATGGAGAACTGACCTTCAGTAGCAATGTATAGGTAACCCGCAATCTTGGGAAGAGTTGGCTGGTAATGATACAAGATTAAACTGGTTGGCTGGAGTAGACTCAGGACAGCAAAAGAGATGAAGTAGAGACAGTGAAAAAGGGAGTTCTAATGAGCTAGGCTTAAAGAGAGTAAAGAAAAGGATTGGTAGGACAGGACTGGTCAAGAAAGAAAACAATATTTTTTAAAAAACTAATTATTATTATTTAGTTCTTTTCTTAAGAATAATAATTATTATTATTTTTAAATTTGCTAGAGGGCATACACACTCATGAGAGAGAGAGAGAGAGGAAGCCACCAGGTCTGGGATCTGAACTGTGGTCAGCCATTTGGGAGTCTAGCAACTCAACCACCATGCCACCTGCTGGCTTTACCTATTTCCTCCCCATAGGATACATGTGATTGCTAGAGACAGAGAGAGAGAGATACAGAGAGGGAAAGTGAGAAATCATTGCCAGGTAATGATTCTCCTTTCAGGATTTTGGGATGTATACACATGAGCCTAGCGTGATTTTCAAGCTGCCAGGTTCAGGACCCAAACTGTGGTTGGTCATGTGGGAGTCTTGCGCCTTAACCACTACACCACCTCCTGGCCCCAGAAAAAAAAGCCTTTTAAGATGAAAGATTTATAGCAACTGCTTATACTCAAGGGAATAACCCAGTAGAAAGGAAAAAAAAAATTAATGATAGAGGAGAGAGCTGGAATGATTATTGAACCAATTTACTAGCACAAATGATCTGTAAGATCCAGTGCACAAGAATGAATAAATCTTCTGTTTAATAATTTCTTTTTACTGTTCTTTTACCCTATTGTTTTTAGGATTTTTTTTTTCTTTTTGGCCGTAGGGTGCATACGCTTGCTGGAGAAAGAAAGACAGAAAGTGAGAAACCATTCTCCAGGAGGGATGGTCATGGTGCAGTCCCTTCTCCATTCTTCTCTTGAGGTTTTGGACATGCAATGCAAACACATCTGGTGGACTTTTCAAGCTGCCAGTTCCAGGATTCAAACCACGGTCACCATGTGGGAGTCCAGGGCCTTAACCACCATGCCACCTGTTGGCCCTTTCTCCACTGTTATTAGAAATTAGGACTACTAAGAAAAGGAAGACTCTACTTTGTAGGTTATGCTCAATAAGTCTATTTAAATTTAAGTGTGTCACTTTTTTTTTTTTTTTTAAGAGGCTTTTGCTATAGGGCGTGTGCACTCGCCAGACAGGCAGAGACAGACAGAGAGACAGAAAGCGAGAAACCACACCGCAGGGGGGATGGCCACACCACAATCCCTTCTCCTCCATTCTCCTCTTAGGATCTTGGGCACACACGCACATGCGCCCGGCGTTTAGTTTTACGCCACCGGGTCCAGGATGCAAACCGTAGTCGACTACATGGGAGTCCAGCGACATAGCCATTATGCTAACTGCTGGTCACAATGTGACACTTTTAATTGATCACTATCTATCCAAATCTGCTTGAATTTGCCTCCTATCTCTTCTCTACCACCTTTGCTAGGATGAGTCCTAACTTCCCTACTAATCTTACAACAGTTTTACTCTGGTCTACTCTTCTTTTTTTTTTTTAAGGTTTTTGCCATAGGGGACATTCACTTGGTAGAAAGACACAAACACAATGAGAAGGTAAGTGAAAAATCACTCCCCGGGGGATGGCCATGCTGCAATCCCTTCTCTTCTATCCTCCTCTTGGGATTTTGGGCATATATGCACCCATGCCCAGCTTGACTGTCAAGCTGCCAAGTCTGGGGCTTGAACCAAAGTCAGCCATGTGGAGTCCAGTGTCTTAACCACCATGCCACCTGCTGGCTCCACTTTGGCCTCCTTTTAAAATACAAATCTTGTTATTTTGTTCCTCTTCTTAGAAACTTCCAAAGACAACCTATTATCTACTTCGATTTCTACTTAATCAGAAATGACATAGAGGAGACTTCTTATGTGATCCCAACCTTTTCATTTCTTTTTGTCTCTTCCCCTGTTTACTAAATCCTATAATAGTTACACAACTTATTTATGTTCCCAGAATCTGAAGTATCCTCTTTAACCAAGCATTCTTTATGTTCTGTGTGAAGTTTTCCCATTTTCTGTCATATAATTAGCTATCGATTTTTCTATGTTCTCATATTACTTTGTATAATAATTTTAGCATTTATATCATATTATAATTCTTGTTTTCATGCTTGGTTCTCAGACTAGCAATCTTGTCAGACTTATTTATATCCATGAACATAGTTTATATAAGGAGACTTTAAAAAAGCTGTGGAAAAAAAATCGGGACTAACAGTTAGCGAAATGGCTATGTCACTGAACTCCCATGTAGTCGACCGCGGTTCAGGTCCTGGACCTGGTGGCTTAAACTCACACTGGGCATGTCTGTGTACGTGCCCAAGATCCCAAAAGAATGGAGAAGGGATTGTGGCGTGGCCATCCCCTCTGGGGAGTGATTTCTCGCTTTCTGTCTCTCTGTCTCTCTGTCTCTCTGGTGAGCGCACGTGCCCTATAGCAAAAACCTCTCTCTCAAAAAAAAGAAAAAAAAAGCTGTAGAAAAATAAAAGTATGTTTATTTGATGCAAAAATGGGAAATCCATACATAATTTTTTTCATAATACGTACTTTTCATGAACTTTGTGAAGACCCCTCATTATAGGTGTGTTAGAGCAGGTACTTACTAAATGTTTGTTAAATGCACAGTTTTTTCCCAACTTAGTATGTAAATTAAGGTAATATGTGGCTAAATAAATATTTAATTTATTATTTCAATTTGCCAGAGAGATAGTAATAAAGTAAGAAAGCACAATGGACCATGGTGATGCTGCAATCCCTTCTCTTTCATCTCTCCCTCTTTTCAGGATTTGGGGCATTTACATATTTGTGTCCAGCATGTTTCTCAATTTGCCAAATCTGTGACTTAAACCATGTAGCTGGTCATATGGGATATAGCTACTTTAACCACCATGCTACAGGTTGGCATGATTTTGTTTTTAATATTAGAATCTATCTGTTTTTTCATAAAAAGAAAGAAAAAA